TTACCTTATACAACAAATCACTAACCGCCACATGTATGCTATGTAGGTAAGTGCAAATAACATTATTCTTTTTTATTTGGGATGGGTGAGAATTTCTATGAAGAATTTATTTTGAGATCGTTAGTTGATAATGTCAATCGTCATTAAGAATAATAAGAGGGTCGAGAAGCACCACTCCAGTTTTGACGAAGAAAAATAAAGAGAAGAGTTACAATCTAGATGTATTTCAAATGATTGAAGGTTGCTTATTCGAAGCTTTATCTATTTAATGGAAACTCTCGAATGAAACGGAGAAGATGAGAGATCTATGAACAACTTGAGATACGCAAAAAGGTGAACGAGCATGAATTCTCATTAAAAGTGATATTTGTCTATTCAACGACGTGGCTTACAAAAGTGATGTTAATCGTTAATGCTCCGTTTGGCTAATTTTATAAATTATTTATAAATAATCAGATTTCATTTTAATTAAGCCCTTGTTTGAGCCCCATTTTTTTAACCAAAATACATTCTTCAACAGTGATTTGATATCATTTCAACCACACATTCTTCAATAAAATAATATTATACGCAAATCAATAACTTTTTTTTTTATTTTTTAACCACACATTTCCCATCAATACGCTTTCAAAAATTCATTTTCTTCACAAAAATGGGACTCAAACAAGGGCTAAATATTTCAGTTTTCACAAATAATACTCTTCAAATGACAGCTAAATTGTAAAAATGAGTAAAAAAATATTTTTTATAAACAAAATCTTGCTACATCTACATGAGTACATATTATATCAAACTTTACATAATAGGTTACGTAATGACACGTGTCATACTATCATTTGTCAATTCAAAACACATTCAACTTTTTTATCCAAAATTTCTCTCCACATCATTTTATGTAATATCTTATATATAATTTTTATTTACAAGTAGCATAATCATTTATTTAATACACTAATGTCTACATTGGTCATCCTTCTCGGCTTTGAGGTCATTGTGCTTAGCCTAATATTTTAACTCCTTAATGGGAATCGACAACACTTCAAATTTGAACTTTGCCCTTTGCAAACTACGTAGACGTGTCTCCCTCCATATTAAAGTAATAGAACAACTTTATTACTTATTTTGAAGTATGAAATTTCATACTTTCAGTCACTATTTTATTAATATGTATATGCTTGGTCTCAATTAAATAATGAGTTATAATTATTTAATATATATGTCAATTAAACATTGATAAGAAATATTGGATACTCCATATTCTAAAATACTTGAATTTTTTTAATCGAATTAACATTTCATCCGAAAAGATTAATTCACATGTGGAGTAGATCGATCCATAATAAATTCATCATTTATCCCTTTGCCTAATCAATTTGAGATTTTGTTCACACTTTATCAAAAAACCATCTTCAAATGAAGTACTGACTATCACACTTGTCTTCCTCAAATCAAGAAGGAATACGTGCTATATCAAGACACGATTCTTCTACTGTGTCGTGGCCAATACCTTCCGTGGGCACAACCAACCACCTTTAGAGTCCAACCATAAGTTTTTCTAGCCATCACGATCGAACTTCAAACGCCAATCACCTTTGTTCAATTGCAACTAAGGATCTATTATATGGTTTCACATGATTAAGTTTGGGGCCTAACTCTGATAACACTTATATAAAAAATTGAAGTTCTACCGAAAGGTTAACAAATTAGACAGAATAATAAAATTTCTTATAAAACTCATCATTTATACCATATGACACTTTGTTCACACTTTGTTCAAGAGAATCAATAGGACTTTTCTTAAAATTTATAAGAAATCTATATGTTATGATTCCTTAGCTTGGAAGGAAAAGGAAGTTCCACTATAATCTTAAAATTATACTTATAGTGAGCCTTTTTCATTTGATAGTTAATTCTGGTACGTGTTTAATTGTCATGCCTCTTCCTGCACCATTAAACGTATTACTTTTCCCTTTTTCTTTTCTTTTTTGGATCCTTTATGCCAAGGATAATAAAGATAAGACGTAGAAAAATGAAATTTAGAAATTTCACTTTTTATATATGCATTACTGAATCTTAATATCGTTCTTTACAATTTTTCTGTTTCTTTATGCCAACCAATTGCCTCTGAAAGTGGAGTTCCATGTAGACAAAGCTGGTTATTGCCATTTTCATGTGTAATCAGTAATATATCTATGTAAATTTCATAAGTTAACAACTAATATAAATCATAACTCATTGAATATTTGTATTATATTGTAATAATCGAAAAGATTGATTAAACATTCTAAAGTGATAAATATAAATGATTTATAAAATAATGTTTGACAAGAATAAAGAGGTAGGTACCCAAAGTTAATAAGTTGTTCAAGACAACAAATTCCTTCAATAAAAGTTAGGTCAGGTGTAATTAGAAAAATTGATTACTCTAAAATTATGACGAAAAGAATGACAGCATTAATTCTCTCATCACAATCTAAGTAGATGTTAAGTAAGGCGAATTGCAAATTGCCTTGACTCGCCCTACTAACGAGTCGAGCAACGATTTGACCAGGTGAACCAAATTGAGAAATATGCGATTTCAATGGAAAAAAAAATTATAGTGAATCGACTCGACTTGCACCATTGAGAGGTGAGCTCATAGATGAGACGAGCCGCACTTTTGTTTACCAGGCCGAGTTGACGAGCGCTAATCAACTCACCTCATTTTAACTCCCTTAAACGATTAAACCCCTCTCCAGACCCCCACCCATCATCGTATATGGATAATATATAGACACACACCAACTATACTACAAACACACAAAACAATAAGTACATACATAATTGATTAGCAGATCCAAGTTTCAATTTGTATTCATTGCTTCTTTTTATTTTTCTTTAAGCAAAAACAACATTCCAACAAATAACCAATCTCTCTTCACCTTCTCTTCTTCTTCCTTAATCTGTACTACACCTTCAAACCAAATACAGAAAATCCCATCTCAACCACTTCTCCATTCCTACCTCTTTCGATCTCTTGAGGGTTTTTTAAGAGAAAGAGAGAGGGAGGGATGAACACGAAAGGGTTCTATGTGAGAATGAGGCTTCTGCAAAATAATACAAGACATTACAGAAATGCGGATAAGAGTAATTTTTGCAGCAGATATTTCAAGTGGATTCTCTGGTTCTCTTTATCCTTCTACTTCTTTAGCTCTTTTCTTATTACCAACAATAAACCTACAAATTCAATTTCAAGAAATACTGTTTCTAAAACCAAACACTCTCGAGCTCTTATTGAAGAATTATCCCTTCTCAAAAGCACCCATAATCCCCAAGGTAAGAAGTGTTAACGGTGAAAATCCCCAATCTATTAAGCTCAAACCAGCATTCAGATGAAGCTTGTCTTTTTGCTAACTTCTTTCTTGATATTCTTTCAGATACATTGAAGGGGATGAAGGTTTATGTTTACGATTTACCATCGAAATATAACACTGACTGGCTATCTAACGAGCGATGCAGCAGCCATTTGTTTGCTTCTGAGGTGGCGATACATAAAATCTTGATGAACAACAACGATATTCGGACATTAGACCCATGGGAAGCTGACTTTTTCTTTGTCCCTGTTTATGTATCGTGCAATTTCAGCACTGTTAATGGCTTCCCTGCAATTGGCCATGCCCGTTCTCTCATTTCTTCTGCTATTCAACTCATTTCCTCTGAACTTCCCTTCTGGAATCGAAGCAGTGGTTCTGATCATGTTTTCGTTGCGTCCCATGATTTTGGTTCCTGCTTTCACACCTTGGTATGCAAAAAAAGTTGATTATAAATTTATAACTTATAAGTACCACAACAGGCAAGCTATTTATTAATGGAAGTTTTGATGTTATTTGCAGGAGGATGTGGCCGTGGCAGATGGGGTGCCGGAAGTTTTGAAGAATTCAATCATATTGCAAACATTTGGGGTGAAGTATAAACACCCTTGTCAAGAAGTGGAAAATGTGGTGATTCCGCCGTATGTTTCGCCAGAAAGTGTGCGAACCACCCTGAAAATGTCGCCGTTGAACGGCCGGCGTGACATTTTCGTATTCTTCAGGGGTAAAATGGAACTTCATCCCAAGAATGTCAGTGGTCGTTTTTACAGCAAGTAAGAATATGTTACTCCAGCCATCCATTTCATTGATGTTGGCATCTGAAATGACGAATTTAACCCTCACTTTAATTTTTTCTTAGGCAGGTGCGGACGGAGATATGGCGGAAGTATGGCAATGACAGGAGGTTTTACTTACAAAGGCAGAGATTTGCCGGTTACCAGTCAGAGATTTTACGGTCAACGTTTTGTTTATGCCCATTAGGATGGGCCCCATGGAGTCCAAGAATAGTTGAATCAATTGTTTTAGGATGTGTGCCGGTAATCATAGCGGATGGCATCCGGTTGCCCTTCCCCTCCTCCGTGCCATGGGCGGAGATATCTCTCACGGTGACAGAGAAGGACGTGGCAAGGCTGGGGGATATACTTGGAGACGTGGCAGCCACCAATCTCACTTCCATTCAGAGAAATTTGTGGGACCCAGATGTTAGAAAAGCCCTACTTTTCAATGATCCAATGGTCGAAGGTGATGCGACCTGGCAGATAATGGTAGCCCTATCAGAGAAGCTCGACAGGTCCCACAAAAAGTCAAGTGTTTTTGACCAATGAGAATATGACACGTGTACATGGAAGCCAGCTGGGAGCTAAAAAAGGCCAGTGGGGCCCAGAGTCTGAGATTTGGTTGTTTGCCATGTGGGATAGTACTTCTGAGTTGGCAAGAATCTATTCGATCGGCTTTGCAGTTTGGTGGGACATAGGTTTCCTGTTGTACACGTGAAGACGAGTATTTTTTTGTGAAAAATAAGATAGAGATGAGATTGTGAATATATGAAAATAATTTCTTTTTTAATTTGTAATAATTTGTTGGGTAAGTTAAATTGTTAGTACCGTGATAATAAAGAAGTTAAAGAAATTTCTAAAATTCTATCGATTTTTTATTTTGTTCAATATGATATATAGACTTTGTCACATGTACATAAAATTTTACATAATCGATTTCATAATGGCACATGTCATTATATCATTTGTCAATTTAAAATATAGTTAACTTTTTCATTCAATTTTTTCCCTTCACGTCATTTTATGTAATATCTTATACACCATTTTTATATGCAAAAGTAGCATAATCCATGATACATATACTCAAATGGTTTGATCTTTTAGTCTCTGTTTGGCAAAATTTGATCCTTTTAACTATACATTTCGATGAATCCTCAAATACTACACAATACTTATTTACTATATTCTATCCATTTATAAATTAACCCGTTTAAAAATTCTTCCTAAACAGAGGTTTAAATATGTTCGTGATTTATTGAGTCTTAATTTTCAGATTGGACGATATGGGTTGGCCTTAAAATGACAAAATGAATATGATATTCATATAAATAAATTATGGTCATTAGTTTATACGGTAGTAGGGTCCCTAAAACATTATCAACGCACTACCATATAACTAATTATATACATAAATACTTACAAAATTAATAGTGAATTGTGACGGTATATGTTATCGGAGTACTTCAAGATAGGTCAATCAGAACGTCCGAACTAGCCATAACCTGTTCTACTCGGGATAGTTTCATGTACTCTATTTGATGTTTCGCAAACTTTTGTCTCGTTTGTAACAATGACTTGCTAATTGAATTAGTGATTCATCAAACAATTGATGAAGATTGTAATCTTAATTATTCTCGAATAGATTTTGAACACCTCGAAATACGCTAAAACACAGCGAGTGATGGTTTCAACTTTCAAAGTTAGAATAAAGACTTTCACATTTTTCATCAGTGACTTGAATGCAAAATGGAATTTAAGGGAAGGGAGTCACGAGGCAGAGAATATATATATATGGGGGGACAAGACATAGAGATGCTACAGGCTGGCAGCTCAGAAAAATGTTGGACCCTTTTTAACGTGTAACTGTGAAGGAGCGGTGAGTTCAGAACATGGAGTACAGAGGGTCACGGGTCCCTGAGAACAAAACAAACACTACCTTACAAAAAAAAAAACGGTTTTTTTTTTTTTTAAATAGTTTGGCCTTGTAAATTAATTTTAAACATTGTCCATGGAATTCGAAAAGCTCATTTTTGAATGGTGAGTTATAGGGCGGCTAGCTTTATCTGATAAAGCGTCAAGACAGAACTCAGAAGGATCTTGGTAGTATCTTAGAAGTGTTAAATGAATGAGTCGAATTGACTTTTGAATTGCTCGTGATTCGTCGATTTTATATAAATATCTATTTATTAGTGAAAATTGCTTTTACATCACCTTGTGATGAGCCGGCTTGCAATTGAGTTGACGAGCTCGCGAGTGAGCTAGCTCGCACAAAAAATTATTGTTCGGCTCTTGCCACCGAACACTTCTATTTCTATACTATTCAGGAATTTAGAAATTGATTACACTTAGTGATTAAATGATAAGTAAACATTCGAATTTGAGATTAGGAGATAGATTCGAGGTGGACCCGGGGGAGGGGGTCAGGTTTTTGGAGAAGTATAGAGTAGATCATATGACAATATAAAAGAAAAAAAAAATTGATATACCGTTAAGGATCGTGATCATTTGTCAAATTTCAGTGATTGAAAGAATGGGCTTTCATTATAATTTGTTAATTTTACCGCCTAATTATCTTTGATGTCTAATAATTCGTACCATTTCATGTGGGGTCAAGTATTTTTATTTTTATTTTCTCTATCTTATCAGCCGAGTCAGGAATGAAAAATTTTAAGGGAAGATTTCCTGCCTAAGAGGTTAAGTATAATCCATTTTCAAAACTAAGAAATAAAGTTTAAAACTTCAAAAATCAGATATTAATTAAATTTTGTTTATGAAATAAGGTCACAATATTATACAATTTGGTCACATATTAAAAATTTGATAGGTCATAAATTATTTCTTGATCATAAATAAAAAAATTTATAGGTTGCAAATTATTTCTCAATCACAAATCAAAAATTTTATAAGCAACAGCTTATTTATCGGCACAAATCATAAATCAAAAATTTTATAAGCAACAGCTTATTTATCAGCACAAATCAGAAATTTTATAATTCACAACTTATTTAACGACAACAAATTATCAAATTAATTAATCACAAGTTATTTCTTGATTACAATTTAATAAATTGTGAGTCAAATCATATTTTCAAGTCACATATTATTTATTAGTCACGAATTATATAATTTGTTAGTCACATCAACCAAATAATTGGTCACAAATACCCCACCTGACTCCTTTCCATCTCGACTTCATCCATGACCACACACACCATCACCACGACCATCAGCAATATCTGCATCACCTCACCAAATCGCTCAAAACCACCACAGTAACTGCAACATCCCAACACACCGCACAACCCCCCACACCATCTCGAAATCTGCCACCACTATTGACAACCATTCCTCTATTTACAAACTTTAATACACAAACAAATTTCAAACTTACCATCCTTGCCACCACTATATCTGCCACCATCTCATATCTAAACAACTACCAACCCCAAACCACCCAAAATTGGTTTAGATTGTTGGGACATCAAAAGAAGCAAGTCCATGAAAAACAAGTTGTTGCAATAGCAGTATCAGATTTTCAAGACTCGTATAGAAACACTAGTAGTCGCCATAGTTACGACTAGGCCTGGACACGATTTGATTTCAGTCGGTTTCAATTCCAACCTAAACCAAAACTAAAATAATTATTTTGGATGAATTTCAACTCAAACAAACACATTCTAGCTCTTAAACCAAACCAAACCGAACCACACTAAATCGATTTGATTTGGTTCAGTTCGATTAGTTGATTTGGGTTTTTAGTTCAAATTGATTTTTTTTTTAAAAAATTGTTCGAGTTTTGAGCTCACTTAAATTACAAGAACTAAAATATCCAAATAATTTTAGATTACAAGAACTATTGACAAACAAATAAAATCAGGTTAATAGATTGCTTTTTTATATATTATATAGTTTGAATGTCTAAATTGAGAAAAAATACTAAGTATAACATAATAAACTTGTGAAATGGGATTTTCAATACTATTACTTATTGGAATCATCATAGATTGAAGAGAATCGAAATATAGTTATGAAATTAGGGTTTATCTTTTGATTTTTTCGTAAATTAAAAAAATGTAAAACATGTAAATGGATTGGGTTAGTTTGGTTAGCCAACGGTTTGAAGTCTTTGAGATTTCAAATTATTACTGAACTGGCCCACTATAGTTTTGTTTAAAAGAAAATCAAACCAATTATCTGTATGAAAACGACTGAAGGTTTTATTGGTTCGGTTGATTTTTTCGATTCTTTTGCTTAGGCCTAGCCATGACTTGTCAAAGGATCTCCCCACTACCAAGGTTCTAGTTTCACCTCGTCAAAGAATGCCTTATAGGGCCACTATTGAACTATAGCAGCGACAAGGGCGTGCTTGCTGCACAACTTACATCAAGCAACGAAGCTCGAAGGTGGTCTGTAGCGATGTACGCTACCCCTTGACGACAACAATTTGAGAGAGAAGGTAAAGAGAGACGAGAGGTAAAGAGAGAAAATGAATTAGGGTTTGAGTGTTGGGTGTGTGTATATAAATTAATCTATAAGACTGTTAGTATTATTAAAATATCGATTTATAATATTTGAATTAATAAATAATTTTTTAAGTTGGGGGTGTTTGAGCCACATTATTCCAAAAAAATATATTTTTAAACAGTGATTTGATATCATTTCAACCACACATTCTTCAATAAAATAATATTACACGCAATTCAAAAACTTTTCTTTATTTTTTAATCACACATTTTTCATTAATATACCATTCAAGAATGCATTCTTACCAAAATAATGTGGCTCAAACACCCCCCCTAACTTAAAAAATCTGTTAGGTGTATTTTCCACAAATTTTATCAAATGAATTAGTACATGGGCTTGCTTGTAAATTGTATAACTTTCTAGTCCATTAGACACGTGCTTAGTTTTATTATTATTATTATTATTTAAAGGGCATAGTCACTTCGCTAGAAGAAAACGTTCAGAAGCTTTGCCAGAATGGTACGTGACATGAGGTGATTGAGTGAAAGAGAATTGTGTGACATTATGTAAAATTTTATGTCAAATATGATGTATACGTAACATGATCTTATTTAAAAGCACGTTTTTTTAACAAGAAGTATATTAATTTTTTTATTTATTATTATTATTTTTTAACAATTATGCTATAAGTACAATTTTTTTGACAAAACATTTTGATATACAACACTTGACATGGCACCATTGGATGGTGGGAAAGCATAAAAAAAAAAAGGTCAATCAATTTCTGCCACAGTGTCATTATTAATTTTGTTAAAATTTTTCTACACTTCAAACTTTATCGACAATATATTAAAAGTGGGGATGGCGGAGAAACTTTTAAATATCAACTTTACCCTTACATATTTAACTATATACTCATTATATTCTCATAATTGAAATACGAATTTAATTAGTATTTATCGTTTGGTTTTGGATTAATATAATATAAGGAGTGAAATATTTAATTGATATTTATCAATTAATTTGGATTGGAATCAATATAATGAATGAAACTAACATTTAATTATATCAAGAAAAAAATCAATGACTTACTATTCAATTGACCATTTTGTTCTTACAATTTTTATTTTACACAAACGAATCAATTTTTATATTTCATCAACAAATCCCTTATTAATTTTCATGATTTACATTGTAATTCATGTAATGAGTTTTTATTTTTCATCAACAGGACAATTTTTAATCATCATGCTTTACATTATAATTCATCCATTAAGTTATTATTTAATTGAGGTTACAAATATTTTAAATGTTGCATTAATATATTAATGAGGACATTGAATGAATAAAAAAGAAATTACACACGAAAATTCAATGACTAACATTCAATTTTTTTTTTT